CGCCACTGCTTTGTGAAACCGAAAAGAAACTCAGAAAGACAGAAAACCAAAACACCCTGAAATTCTTCGTGTTCAATGAACAGTTGAATAAAAGTTCTCCCAAAGGTGAAGCAATTTGTGGATTTCAAGGGAATCATAATTACTTGTAGATCATGAGCTACGATGAAGGATCGTTCAATGGTATGCCCTATACCTTCCATGTCAGATACAATGTATTATATTACAATAGTTTTGGTCATAACTTGTCGCCGAAATTAATACATTTTCACAATCTGCGACGATATGGTGTACATAAACACTTTGCTTGAGTCTCATGCAGTAAGAGGGGTGTGGTACGACAAATGTCGCCTATAAAAATTCCGATTTCAAGGAGGCGGGGGGGGAATGGGAATTCTCGGCGTGCGTAGACAGTTTCACTTCCGTTCTTGCACATACCCCACAGATTCCTTTGCTTGCCAAAAAAAATGGATTCCTCGAGGCGATATGAACTGTCGCAACACATACCACCTCACAAGAAAAGGCTCCTTGGTCGCCATGCCCATTCAAAAAGTGATTTATAAGCCTAGATGTGCCTTAGAACGCTGACCTCAAATTTACCTTTCAACTCTGCTAAACGATTATCATTAACCATTACCGTGCGCTGATCTTCTTCACAACTCCGTTCAGAGAATCGTTTAGCAGATTTGAAGGTAGATTTGAGATCAGCGTTCGAAGGCACATCTAGACGTACTATACATCTCTTCTTTAATGGCCATGGGGACCTGGGAGCCTTTCCTTGTTAGTGGATGAGACACTTTCTCATTCAAAGTTTCACAGAAGTCTCACATTGAACCATCACACTGTTGAGACCTTAGTCATAACAAATGTGATTACAAGCAGCGGGCGACTGAATTTTCTGTGCGCGAGGAAGACGGAACAAAGAAAACTAGTGAATAGTTGTGGGATGCTAACAGGAAGGACTACCTGCTCCTGCGATCACGTAGACACGAAGCTCGGTGCGGAAATTTGAAAAAAAAGATTCGGAGAATAAATGTATGTAAATATGATAAGAAGCTTCAGATTGTAGCTGCGCAGCCTTGAGCAGTGCCGAAAAGGGAAATTACAACTGTGAAAAGTTCTGTGCTACATACATCCCTTCTCGCATAGACCTGAAAGAATTATAATTTACAGTCTGAACCCATTTAAGGTTGAGAAACACTAGACCCTCAGAACTTCTTCATCATCTGAGAAGAAAATAGAGAAAGATCAAAGTTCTCGAATTGCTGGGAGCGATAAAGAGATTTGAAGCAACTAATATGTTTAGTGTATACTAGTATCTCTGGTACGGAGTTGCAGTGCTAACACGTTTCCGATTTCCACGAATGAAACGCTCAGCAGAACTTCTAGATTCTTCACGACCAATCAGAGTCTAAACTGAGATCGTTATGACGGCCATACGGTTGCATATTATGTAGGTTGGCTGATGAGTAATGTCGTTTTTTTTTCATTGTAAGTTTTCCTTGAGGTCCAATTCACATAATTGACCACCAATGCGGCACGCATTCTACTTCCATTTGTACATTCGTAGTGGCGTTTGAATGCGATGTGGCCTATACAATGACTTGCGGGGGCCAGCCGATGTACAAGTCAGTGTTTTTATCCTCCCAGACAAGTCTGGTACCAATTAACCGACCC